CAATGTTCTTTTTAAAGAGAGAGGCCCCAAACTGGCCATAGTACTCGAGGTGTGGTCTCACCAATGCAAGTACAGGGGGATGATCACTTCCCTAGTCCTGCTGGCCACACTGTTCTTGATAGAGGCCAAGACACCACTGGCCCTGGCCACCTGTGCCAAGACACTGCTGACTCATATTAAACCTGCTGTCAATCAACACTTCTAAGCCCTTTTCTGATGAACAACACTTGAGCCACTCTGTTGTGCCCCAAGTGCAGGACCAGCTCACGCAGTTGTCCTCAGCCCATTTATCAAGTCTGTCCAGGTCTCTCTGTAGAGCTTTCCTACCCCCAGGCAGATTGACACTCCCACCCAACTTAATGTCATCTGCAAATTTACTGAGGGTGCTTTAATTACCCATAGCTTTCTGGGAAGAACTCAGGAGCTTTCTGTGTGCACCTACAATGTGCATTGGCTGTATTTTCAGAAAGGAACAACTTTGAAAAAGAGGCATTCCCCAACAAGATACATACCACTATTTGCTACTTTGTCAAAGTACTTCTGCAGTAAACGACAGAACTGTACACAAGATAGAGGCACTGCAGTAGAATCACAAAACCAGATTTTGGGTTGTTCTTGAAAGTTAACAGGTTTTAAATTTCTACCACTGTGCTTAACTGCAACTTACACAAATTTTTAGTGTTTACAGTGTCATGTAAAGCAATTCTGGGTGAAGCTGTTACTTAAGAAGACTCTGTAAATATTGAGTTATCTGCATGACCTGATTTACCCGGTCCCCTTCTTGATTACTCCACTCAGAAGAGGATGTTCAGCCAGAACAGTCAACAAGTTTTAATGCATACAAATAGCTGCATTATCACATTTGATTTCTAAAAAAGTCCAAGGCTGATGCCTCTTCTGTGAGCTACATGCCCATTCACGTGCACACACTTTGGAAAGTTACTTCCTTTTCCCTTCCCATCTGTTCATAAAAAAAATGTTTTGTTTTCCCAGCAACTGTTTTTAACCTTGGCTTTTGTAACCAAACACCTTTCCCTGCTGCCCGTTTTTTTCAGCAGCTCAAGTCCCAGCAGGCTTTGTACTGGTCTCACCCTTGTTTTAGCCAATAGAGGAAACCCGCAGCACAAAGCGCTATGAAACTCACAGTAGCACGAGATTCCAGGATTTAAAATTGTTCGAGTCAGGTCTCAGCCCATCCCCAGTTTTGGGGTGGCAAACATAAAAATTATTTACTGCATAAGAGGCTTATGCAGTCACTTCTCTGGCAGCATTCTACTCCGACCTCCCATTTTGAATGTATAGACCATTGCCACTTCCTTCTGAGTATCAGCCTTTAAAGGAGCACCTGTTGAGCTCCATATTAATTTCCTCCATACCTTCTCCAAGTAGTGTGGATGCTCTCCATAACAGGCTTAGCAAGTCAACTTAATAGCTAAATTCTAACCAGTATTTCTGCTCTGTGGCTTGTTAAATAGGCACTGGGCTGAGTGAGGCTCTTCCTTTAAAAAAAAATAACAACTTGTAGGGGAATTCACACTGGAAAGAATTCTCCTACAAGCAGCATATGAACAACTCATTATTATTATGGATAACTCATCTTGGTTTTCTGTTTAAAGAAACAGTTTATGGAATGCAACCTTAAGACTTATCTACAATAAGGAAATTAATCTTTCACAAGTTGTGGTGGTCTAAATGTTCCCTTGTGTGCACAGATACCGCATTCT